TGCACCTTAAAATACAAATTGTAATGGACTTTCAATGTCAAGCACAGAAAAGTGTGGACGGTATCGCCCCCCACCCACACACCTTGGGAACAACCTTGTCTACTTACAACAGGGTTGCAGGTTCCATCCCCAGGGAGCATGCGGGAGGCAACCAATCAATGAGTCTCTGTCACATCCATGTTTCTCCCCGGCTCCCTCCCTCCCTTATTGAAAATAAATATTCGAGCACATGAACCTCCTTGATCAAGCTGCTCCTGAAGCCCTCTCTGCCCTCCTCCAGTGCCCTGGGGTGTGCACTTGAAACAACTGTGTGTTTTTCTGCAGCTGAGTGAAATAAAATACACATCTCTGTGTGTCTGTTTTTAATCCATGCCTGAGGATATGCTTTATTTTATATACATATATATATTTGGAGAGAGGAAGGGGGAGAGAGAAACATCAATCTGTAGGCTCTCCTGCACAACCTGACTGGGATCAAACCTGAAACCTAAGTATGTGGTGTCCAGGACGACACTCCAACCACTGAGCCACCTGACCAGGGCCACACACATGTTTTAACTGTTTATATAGGTCTGGTTTCTGCATCATAGAGAAAGTCAATTAGTCCGTTGTGTCACATCCAAACTTTTATTTCATATATAACCTTTCGACACCAAGTTAATCTCCCAGAAATTAAAAAGGAAAACATTTGGCTACTGATCTCAAAGTTCAAAACATGCTTATTGGACAATAATACAAACAAGTCCCAGAGAAAAATCAACCATAACAACATTAAGCATTAAGTACTTCCTCTGGAAAGTGTAATTTTCCCCAAATGTAGTTAATTTGTGTCTGGGATTCGGGAACTGTCCCTGTTTCTCCGCACGTGTGCCAGGCAGACAAGCCCGCAGCGCGGGCCCGGGGCGCAGGAAGCGTGTGCAGATGTTGCCACGCTCGGAGGCTCACCGGCCTTGCCCAGGGTCGCCGGCCACGCGGGGGCTCACCCAGGACAGATGGTCAGGCAGCTCCCATCATCCATCGCCGGGTTCGCAGGCCCAAAGAATGGGCACAGTGGCTCCGAGGCAGAAATTTTAGGGAATGTGAACACATGGGACCCATCGCCCACGTGGTAAAAGGAGACGGTCCCCATCTCCACATCCAGGAAGATGGCCACGCGGTGTAAGTGGGGGCTCACCAGCAGCACCGTGAAGGGCTCGGTGCTGGCCGAGAACAGGTCCTTGTCCCTGAAGCTCACAGTCCAGAAGCCGCGTTCTGAAGACAGGAGGACCTCCCCTTGCCGGGGAGCAGACTCCGTGCAGACGCCCAAACTCCACTCCCTGCTGGTCCCCACATCCACCTCCCAGTAATGGCGACCAGAGGCGAACCGCGGGGAGCCCAGGACACAGATGGCCCAGTTGAATCTCCCGGGGTGGACTAGGCGCCTCTGCTCGAAATAGCCACAGGAGACCCGCCTCAGGTCCTCAGAAAGGATGAGGTAGTTGTTGGCTGTGTGCACATCCAAGGTCATGTCCACTGTGGAGAGAAAACTGACCAAGTCAGCAGGCACCCAGGCTGTGCCCGCCCGTCCCGCGCCCCCTTTCGTGTCTCACCTTGGAACTTGCGAATCCTCGGGTTCATCTGCAGGATGGTTCTCAGCTGGGGCTCCAGGGCCTTGACCTTGGACACCAGCCTGCCCAGCTGGCTGTTGGGCCTGATGTCACCCTTCTGAGAAACCTTGGAGCAGCCGAGGCACAAAACGCCATCCCCGCGGGGCTCCTTGGGCAGTGAGGGGACGCACTGGAGGCAGCAGATGTATCCGCACTTCAGGTTCACGGGGTTTTCAAGGTAATTCAGGCAGACCGGGCATCGGCTGGCCTCCTTAAGGCGCCCGGCCATGGCCCCTCTCTGGGGGACACCGTCCTCTTTCTAGAACAGTTATTTGCAGTCACTCCTGGGAACGAAGATGCAACCTGAGTGCAAATATAAAGGGCTCATGGTCTTGAACTTCTGATGTTTAAAATGCTAGTTGGGCCCTGGCTGCTGTGGCTCAGTGGTTAAGGCCTCGGCCCACGGCGAGGTGGGCTGAGAGTAAGAGGTACCCTGGATTTTGAGGACAGCGGGAGGAAAAGAGGTGTCAGCTGTCTCCTGCAGAAGCCCCCAAGCCGACTGCTTGTTGAAATGACTGCCGTTTGCCTCTTGCAACGAATTAGATTTGTTGTTTTTTTAATCCTCACTGGAGGATATGTTCATTGGTTTTTTAGAGA